ATGGGGGAAGCATCAATTGGATGAGGAGAATGGGGAGGTGACTGAGGATGAATATCTGGGGTTTCTCTTACATGTGAACATCTTTTTTTTAAACATTCGATCATATATTGTTTTACCGAACACTTATGTATATATGTTTAATTAAATGTATTTTTTTAATTACTTGTTCAATTGGAAAGTTTATTATTACAGTTTTAGTCCTATAAATGTTTGGATTGGTTAAATTGTGATGCAGTTATATCATTTTTATATGTGTCGATTACAAGTGTGGAAATTATAACTGTCAAACATGAGATTTAGGGTCTGTTTGAGGTAGCTTTTGCATTTTAGGATAAGCTACTTATCCTGAAACGCGGCCCGCGGGTCGACCGCGAAGCTTGACACGCAGCCTGCGTTTAGTGAAAAAAACTCAAACGCGGCAAAAAGCGTTTTCAAAAACGCGCAAACCAAAAGGTTAGGCGTATAAGCTACCCCAAGCGTTTTTCAGAAACGCCACCGCACTTATAAGCTACCCCAAACGGGCTCTTACTTTTTTCTGACGCTACAGGTTTTCGATGGCTTTTCATTGGTCTTTCGATGATATATCGAGTAGTTGTAGTGATATCTAACGGTTATAATACCGACGCCTAAAAGACACGAATTTCAGTTGTAGTGATATTTGACGGTTATAATACCGACATATTTGACGGTTATAATACCGACGCCTAAAAGACACGAATTTGTCAGTTTTGACTGCGACAAAAAATTGATAGATGCACCAGATTATCTACTATTACCTCAGTGGTTATAATTTTGATGCCTCACCGATGTCTAATTAACAGCCTTCACCGCAACAAAAACTGATGCCTATTCCCGGTTACTGTCGACGGTTAACTCATCGGTTATTGCTGTGGTTGAGTGACGCTAAATCAATGGCAATAATCGATGGTTTTAGCCTTTGGTAATCAGAAACTAACGAAACTCGATGGCTTACACGTGATTTCTAGTTTATCAAAAATCGATGATCATATCATGACTGAAGTCCGTCGTTACTTATAAGTCGTCATAATATCCTTTGGTTTTCTAATTTTCGACAAGTGTTTTTGCTATGCCATATACCATTGATAAATTGTTATTAATTCTTCAACCGACGGTTTATCTAGTTTTAATTGACAGGATTTGACCCTCTGAAATAGGTTAAATTTCTGTAATGAAAGCTCCATAGCAGGTACATATCTAACTTGATTTGTTTTGTCGACTTTGATGCAAGAAAAATATTAAACATGAAAAGTCGCGACTGAAATAATTTTTTACAGTATTACTGCCTGCTGCTTTTAGTATGTTTCTAACTCCAGTAATTAATCCACTAATTGAAATCAGTGCATCCTTCAAACAACTTATATGTTGCTCATTTAAAAGTTAATATATTGAGACAGCTTAAAATGTTCATTCCCATAATATTCTGCAAACTTCAGCCTATGCTTTCTCCCAACTTCTTTGACTTGGTGGAGCATCTACCCATATATTTACCTTACAAAGCTATATTTGGAAGTCAAGCATAGGAATAGTAGATAGATCCATTTGAGATGTTTGTCTTTCAAATGCCTCATTATATAATATACAAATAGAAAATTGTCGTATCTTGCTAAATAACAATTACTATTATAAAATTTTGAATAAAATTATAAGAATAATAAAACATAAAGCATGGCCTGAGGCTCAATATGTAAGACATACTTGTTGTAGGAGACAACTGCTTTCCATTCATACTATTTTGGGTAACAATTATTAATAGAACAAACTATAGTTGAGGAGTCTTCACAGCCTGTAATTTCTGTATTTCAAAAATCACGTGAAGCATTAGGAAGATGCGATTCATGATACCTTATTGAAATGGAATTTCAAGCAACGACATTATATATTTTCCTTAACTTTAACAAAGTTCAGCCATTTCTCAAGTAAAATGGATGGTAATTTATAGTAACTAATAAGAAGATTGAAAAAAGTTTTCAACAATTATACGTAAGTTTAATTAACTCAGTGATTTGTAATAGGTAAGTTGAATGTACAAATTACATAAGGATGTTAATTTTTGTAATAGGTTCATAATCGAAGCAATGGGGTTATGGATCAGGGCATAAAAGATCTTCCTTAGGGGCCAAATTGTAGCATGATTAAGTGGCCCATATTTAATGTGAATGGGTACAAATAGCACATGAGATCGTAGTTTAAGTCTTTTATTTATTTAAAATCATCTTGTAATAGTGAGGTCGACTATGCGAGTTCTTAAGATTTTTTTCAAAATTTATTCACATATCTAAATAATAAGTCACCTAATTGCATATAATAAAAATAAAAAAATATAATGTCCAACATCGTTTTTCATTAGGCAAAGTAACTTCCAATTTCAAAAAGATTTGTGGGACATATATTATTGTATTTCACACAAAATACATGAAACATTATTTCATCTTGTCGAAGTAGGACCCATTTTTTAAATATTATCTAGTGTACTGCATGATTGTAATGATTTCAAATGATTCATTTTATATTCTATCCAATGCAAATTCTAGAATTTTTAAGCTCGCATTCTGTGGAAGTTACATTTTGATCTACAAAATAAATATGCAACACATCTGTTATAGATACAACATGGATAGCTACATGGGTGAGTGCTTTAAACGCCTTCCCAACAAAGGAATTAACTTGTTGCTTTCGAATAGACGGGTTTCTTACGAGGCCTTCAACAAATGCCTATGGCTTGGTTGAATGCACGCTATAATAGAAAAGTTCTATTTGAGCTCGAGCTCTTTGATTTGGATTAGTGCTGTTTGAGCTTGAGTTTTTTGGACTGGGCTACTTTTTTCAACCTCGAGTTTATTGAACTGGATAAGTCCTCACTAAGTATGGGTCGGTTAACTTGGGCGAGTTTCCTCAAATTTTTAGACGAGTGACTTTAATTGCCTCTTCCCTTAGTTTGAGGTGAGTTCATCTATTTTTGCATTATTAACCTAAAATGTATATTTGGATGTACACCTATTATGAGAGCTTAAATCCAAAAGAAAAATAACATAGCAGTTATATATATACTATCAATTTATAAAGATCCAACAAACAAACAAAAACATAAGTATAAAACATTTTACCAAAAATTGTAAGTTTCTTTTTTCTCATCTAAAACCTAACAACAAAATCCACATTTTCTATAAAAAAAATCATCCAAGCCCATCTTCTAATTAATCGAGCCTTCAATGATCAACTAGCTGCTTAGTGAAAAAGAATCAAGGCAAACGTAATAAAAAAATATTTACTCAAATAGAATGAAAAACACATGCTTTATTAAAAAAATTATAGAATAGCTATAACATAAGATAGGACCAATAAGAAGAACAACAAACTTGCATTCCATCCAACAAGACATTTGCATTAAACATTAATTATAGAAAAAAACCCCAAATTTTGTTCCCTCCTTCATCTTCCTCTTCAATTTGAAGATCACAAAAAGGAAACAGAAGATAAACGAACGGTCTTAAGAAATTCGAAGGTAAAATGACAAAACATTTTGATTTGGGGCTTGTTTTGTTGATGAAGCATGAGAGAGAATGGTATTCATTGCAATTTATTACGGACTTATACGATCATGAATAATAAGTTGCAATGTGAAATACAGTCTTGAAATATGCAAAAAATTTTTTGTGTGGACTCCTGACGTAGCTCTACGTACGGCGTATGGTATTCCTGAATTATTTTTAGGTTATTTCTGAGTTATTTTTAAAAATCCAGAAATAATCCGCGGTCTTTATTTTTGGGTTATTTCGGAATTATTGAAAATAACCCAGAAATAACCTGAAAATAACTCAGGAATAATCTGCACCGCACGTAGAGATACGTCAGATGTCCGGACAGAAAATGCACGCTGAAATATGACAGGCTAAGTATGATCAATTTTTTGTTGCAAAATAATATTATTAATAATATTTTCACGCAGTAAAAATAAACTGCACGATTCATAAATGAGCTTGTATACTTCTGTTAGCGCAATTGGCCACATGATGTGTTCTTCTAGAATAATTGGATGACAACTTTGCCGCACAATAAATTATGTCCAGTTTTATTTTGTTATAAAAAAAATTATATCAGAATTTATTTTTAATTTAAACTTTCTTGACTTACTGCTCTTCTATGAGGATGTTTTTCTTGAACATGTTTTACTAGAATATCATGAAACCGCTTAAATAAAACAACAATAAAGCCTTAATCGCATTATGTGAGGTTTGCTACAGGAATTTTTTTTCTCAATTGCGTCTTATTTAGTGTTATATTTTCATTTAGTTCTAATAAGTTAAGATCCGTTTTTTTTTACATAAGTCCGAGTCTTCTTAGGACTACCTCTGTATTTCTTAACTTAAATTGAACATAAAAATATCTACTCTCCTAATTAAATCATCAATTGGTCGACGTTTAATATGACCACACCATTTAAGACGACTTCCTCTAATCTTATCCATCACAGGAACTATACCAACCCTTAACATAATTTGAAATTGCTTAAATAATAAGATAAAATAAAAAGGATAAGGTGATGTTTCCAAGAAAAAGGGCAGCTAAACATTTAGGCGGTGTTACCTAGTTTATTAATAGGTAGATTTAGCTTTAATCTATCCGAACAACGAATTTTCACGCATTCTGTTTGTTTTTATTAAATCTGAGTCCCGAACTAATTTACCAAACTTATTCATTCAGAAAAAAAAAAAAAAGTCTTTTTATATAGTTATCTTAATATTTTAAATTTTTATTTTCACATCTTGTCATTTATTGGCTTTTTTTGAGTTGACCCAACTATGTGCATATGCCGAACATGGGGTGGCAATTTCACACCCATCTCTCTTTCCTCCATCCCATCGTACACGTATCGCCATACCAACTACCCCCCGCGTCAACAAAAGGTAGCACTCCGCGCCCTCCTTCGACCATAAAAACCCCACGTACCATTTCCTCGAGCCATTCAAACTTCCCTCCCTTCCCCAGCCAAGCAACAGCTGCTATGGTGTTCTCAGTGACCCGAAAACTAAGCGGGCTTGTCACCCCGGCGGAGCCGACGCCGACGGAAGTCCTTCTTCTGTCTCCCATCGATCGCGTCCCCGGCCTTCGCCACATTGTCCGATCCTTGCATGTGTTTAAGACCGGCGAGAGTGCGGCGGAAACCATCAAACAGGCTTTGTCAAAAGCCCTCGTACCTTATTACCCATTCGCAGGCCGGTTCATCGATGATCCTGATGATGGTGAAGTGAAGTTGTCGTGCAAAGGCGAGGGTGTGTTGTTTGTTGAGGCTGTTGCTGATTGTACGCTCGAGGATGTGAGGTTTCTCGATCAACCTCTAATGATCCCGGCGGATGAGCTTTTTCCGGCGGTCTCGCAAGATATTATTGAGTCCATCGACATCCCATTCATGATGCAGGTGTGTTCATGAGACACAAAGTCTTAGTTGTTAATTAGTTATGCAGCAACCATATCTTTCTTATTAATCAATGTTTTAATCGGATCAAGTTTGATTATGAGATCCTATTCTAAAATTTCTTATAATTATGTTTATAGATTTTTTTTATAGTAATAACTACAAAATAATGTATGGAAATGGTTAGACTAGGATAATACATCTTACTCTACCAGGATAAGTTAGATTTCATTTAAAAATAACATTTAACTATTTAACATCACAATAAATTAAAAGTAGAAAACTTCGCTATTATAAATTTTCTTTAAAGGAAGATCCTCCATACTAACTTAAGTATGCATAATAAATATTAACTTAAGCTTGTTAATATTATTGTTTGTATTTTTTTCTAAAAATACTAGCTATAATCTCTCTCTCTCTCTCTCTCTCTCTCTCTCTCTCTCTCTCTCTCTCTCTCTCTCTCTCTCTCTCTCTCTATATATATATATATATATGTTATTCTCACATAAATACACATAAAACGAGAGACGTGTTTCTGAAAAAAGTTGCTCGTAAAGGACCAGTGGAAGTTTTCGTGAAAATAAAGACTTCTTGAAGGTTCCCCACACAAAACATCTTATCAGTGCATGATACTTTAAAATTTCTCTGCATTCATTCGCAGGCTGCGTCTGGGCTGGAGGAATTCAACGAAAATAAGATATTTGTTTATTATTATATTTATCACTGCCCATTCATTTGAGCGTAGTCTTATGAAATTGATTTTACTGAGTAAAGCCGCATGGAAATTTGAGGGAAATTTGAAGTGTTATAAGTATGAAATTGATTCATTTCTTCAATTTCCATTTGGTTATCAAATAAATATATTAATTAAAATTTGCTTTAACCAGGGGAAAATTTTGTGAAATAAAACTGCGATAATAGTTTTTCAACAAAAAATCTTTTGTTCCTGGGTCTTAAACATATGAAAGTGTGATCAATTTCACTATAATTTTGTAGAAAAGAAAGCTTATGGTGGTGACCATTTTTCCTTACAGGTGACCGAGTTCACGTGCGGCGGCTTCGTGATTGGCATCCTCTCATTCCACACCTTGGCAGACGGCCTCGGCGCCGCTCAGTTCGTACACGCCATTGGAGAGTTGGCCCGTGGGCTGCCAAAACTCACTATCAACCCCATCTGGGGTCGTGATCTCATCCCGAATCCGCTCAAGCTCAAGCAATCAGACCCTCCTCCTGCTTTCCCCAACATAAAGCTTCAATACACAACCATTGATTTCTCAACCAACAACATTCTACAGTTGAAAGCAGACTTCTTCCATTCCACAGGCAAACACTGCTCCACCTTCGACGCCTCTGTTGCCAAGGTGTGGCAGTCTCGAACCCGCGCTATCGGGTTCGAGCCCAACGAGTTGGTTCACATCTGCTTCTTTGCCAACATTCGCCACCTTCTCGCTGATATTCTTCCCCCGGAGGGAGGGTATTATGGCAACTGTTTCTACCCTGTAACAGTTACTTCCACTGCCGGAAGAGTGTCAGAGTCGAACCTTGTGGACTTGGTGAAAATCATAAGGGATGCGAAGAGCAGCCTGCCAAAAGAGTTCGCTAAATGGGCCATTGGGGACTATAAGGAGGATCCTTTTCAGGTGAACTTCAGTTACAATTCTCTATTCGTGTCGGACTGGACAAGGTTAGGGTTTAGGGAGGTGGATTATGGGTGGGGGAAACCGAAACCAGTGAATGTCATACCATTTGCTTACTATGATTTCATGGCAGTGGCGATCATCGGGGCTCTACCAGTGTCAATGCAAGGAACAAGGGTCATGACGCAGTGTGTTCTGGAAAAGCATTTGGAGGAATTTCAGAATGAGATGAGGGAGTTTTAATTGAAAGTGTCTATGTTGCGGATACACTTGAAGTGAAAGTTTGGAATGCGGGGTATCTTAAATGCAATTCAAGTGTTAGAGGATTTTAGACTAATACTTCCTAATTTGTTTTGTTTGCTTTTGTTTTATTGTTTCTTTCATTGATGTTTAGTGATTAAGCAAATATTGTTTGATGTGTAAGGGCATGTTTTAATTGAATAAATTAAATGTTTTGTTTGATATTGAATGTCAATTCGATTACCTTTGATGATGTTGAATCTAAAAATGTCATGTGGATTACACCCAAGAAATAGAGTTTAAATGAGTGAAAGGAGGAAAAGTGAACAGTAACTTAGAACAGGTATACTAAACCTTCTTAACCTTTTTGACTATGATCCTATAACCCCTATTCTCAACATGAACTCCCATTTAAAATTGCATAGGGACCTCTATTTTGAAAGGGACTAAACAAAGTATTATAGGTTTTGCTTTAGTGTGACCGAAAGGTTTTTTGGGAGCCTTGACTTGAACTCTTGCTCAATTGGAATGGGTAACTAAGTATTTCGGTTGTCAATTTTGATAGGACAGCCTGGCTGATGGATGACCTAGATGTGGTTAGTTGGTTTGCCTCAATCATGCCAGCTAAATGTTGTTGGGCGGCCATCCGGATGACGTTAGTTGGGATAGACTTAGTCAGTCATATTAATGGTGCCTAGATGATTTTAATTCTCGATGGGTTCCCTGACTCTTTGAGTTGATGTCCTTCTGTAGATGGCTATAGTATGAGCTTCGCATTAATAACTTTTCTCAAGAGGGCCCTGCATTGCTCCCAACAAATCTTTTGGGTCCGTCAAATTCCTTTGAGATTCATGTGATAGGGTTTTCATGTACAAATTTAGTTCTCTAATTTCTTAGTTTCTTAATAGTGACAGTTGTAATAAGAATAAGAAAATCTTATTTATGATAACCAACAATATTTATAATTACTTATTGGAACAATAATTGAAACTCCATGGAATTTCATGCCTCTGGTTTTCTTTAAATAAAAAAAGAAAGTCCATGTTATATTTACTTTCTTTTATATCTTTTTAGCCATAATCACATAGTTCTTCATGACACTATGGTGGGAGAGTTTGATTCCTAGAGCCTTCGTAAAATAGCTTACAAGAAATAAGAAAAACTTTACGAAGATAAGGGGATGTGATTCTCGCCTTGAAGGTGAGGGGAGACATGAAATGCCTATTTGGAAAAGAAGGGTGTTAGATTCAAATGATCAATCAAGATCATTTGATTCTCCCTTGACATGATTGAGTGGTAAGGCTCAGTTTGTAGAAAGTTCTTTTGGGCAGAGACTTAATGAGACTATCGAGGATCTTAAAGAAATGCCACCTCACATGGAAGACAGTTTACTGGTTGACTCGATGGTTATTCTGTTAGCATCAATCCTAATCTTGTTCCATCGGGCTAAAGTAGATGACTGGGGGACAATAAACATCTCAGGAGTAGTTGGTTGTCCTCCGCAGACTGAGGAACAAAGAGGTGAGGAAAGATTTTCCTTTACTTTATTTGAATGGGGTCGAATAATACGTACATAGTGCATCTCCTCTTCAAGGAACCCTACTTTTTGTCTGAATGTTTTTTTTTCTTGCAGAGGATCCATCCACGAATCTGGTGTTAGTTGAAACCCTTTTGGCCGAGAGGAAATTCAATCTCACCGCAAAGGCTGACAATGGGGAGAAGCCTATGGAAGATCTACTAGCTGGTGAAAGGAATCATTTGAACTTTAGAGCTGTAGATTTATCAGATGTGACCTCAATTTATCGAAGTCTCATACAGAGCAACTTTGGGACTCAACTAAGTCATTGGCTTGATCAGACAGATTACTGTTGGATGAGGAGCCAGACCATCCTGTTAATCAGAAAGGGTGCGAGGAAGGCTGAATGGATGAGATGGCACTTTTGCATGTGAAGGTAGTCACTCTTCAGTGAAGGTCAACTTTCTTTGGGTGGAACTTCTAACTTTTTGCAAAGCAACTTTGGCTTCTTGGGTACATAATGAAATAGAGAGGATAGATAGATTTATGTTAAGGGGTGAATTGTTATAGAGAAGACTACTTCAGCTAGGGTATGTCTCTACCGAAGCGACGGTTGATAGCCTAATTCAATAATTTTTGTCCCGAGTCTTTGTAATGTAAATATTTTATATTCTACTATATAAATCAATCTATGTGTCTGACATAACTCCTTTCTCGCTTTTTGCATATGATAAATTACTTTATAGCCCTTTGTGTCAGTTCAACTTCTTTTCATTACCTATAAATAAGTGTGAAGGTACAGGGGATGCTCGTGTGATCAATTCATCTCTTTCATCTTCCTTTCCCACAATTATTTTTCTTCTAGTCTTGTCCTTTCCCTTGGTGCGTTGATCTCGATGGCTCTCAAGTATTTTTAAGAATATCTTTAGATGCATTTTTCTGAAGGATAGGTCAAGTCTCTTAGATGGTTAGGTAACTAGGATCCAGAATTCATGTCTTTAATTCCTTTATTATACTTTAGGTAGAGGGTGATACTGCTTCCAAGGTGTTATAACACATATGGAGCTCATCCAATTGCACGTGTTGTATCAGTAATATCATATTTTAGATTCCATAATGTCAATCCTTTTAGGAATGAGGTAATCCTTAACATTTGCACATCCATATGGGGCATATCCATCTATACCCCATAGGTTAATGCGATAAACCTACTTGATTATACAATAGAATTTCCTAATACATAATGGTTCACAACATATTTTAACAATTCACTTACCATAATGAAAAATAAATTAAGCAATGAAGGTTTATCATCACCATATGAAGTAATTAAAATACTACATAAGTCTTATTCCATCTTTCCTACTTAATCATCGCAATGAAGAAGAAAAATTCTACTCAAGGAGCATGATAAAAACACTAAATAGATTCATTGTAATAAAAGAAATCCACTATCCAATTATTACAACTCACAGACACCAAAAGGTACACAAAAAGACTTGGCTTTCTCTCCATTACAATGACAAGAATATTAATCAATCAACACTCCTTCTGAATTCCTAGGTTGTTGCTTCTATAGAACTCTCCATGTCTTCTGCCCTTAAAGAAGAAAAAGAGATCTCCACAACAAGCAAAACCCACTAAGTAACCAACTAAATTCTATCCACCATAAGCTTGTAATGTAATTTTATGTATATGCTCTTTAAATTGGCTTTCATGACTCCTCTGTAGCCCTTCATGATCCCCCACATAGCTAATCCCGATCTTATATGACAATACGATGTATGTGATTATATTCTTAATTTTTTCTTACTTATATTTCTTACTTTGCAATGGAACCAAAAACTTGACTTTTAAGCAAATAAGAATGTAATTATTATATTTAAATATGGGATATTACGCAAGTATACGTATAGTTATCAAGTAATATAAGACTTTTTGATTAAGCCCAAAATATTGAACCCACTGGGAGAAATACAATATTTAACTAAATCAAAAGAAATTATATAAAAATTCTACTTTAAAAAATATTCTTACTCAAACTATAAATGTTATAATAGGAATGAAAGTTTGATTCATTTTGGTAATTTATTATCATTTTGGTAATTTTTTTATAATTGAAAATAAAGTAATAAAACTAGAAACCAAATTGAGGGTTTTATCCTGTCACTCTAAAGTCCTCTAATTCTACACCCTTCAAAGTTTATTTCCCTATTTATTTGCACTTAATCATATGAATTACATTCTCATCCATACAATCTCATGTGATTTTTACTATGATGCAATAAAGAACAGTTGCTAATTTAAAGTTTGAATAGTCTTAAAGATGGGTTAGGTAGGGAAGATACTAGCTCTCACTCTTGAGTTCCCTCTTCTCCCTCCACCTGGGAGCTAACATTTCGTATAAAAACCTAAAACTAGAAACCAAATTGAGGGTTTTATCCTGTCACTCTAAAGTCCTCTAATTCTACACCCTTCAAAGTTTATTTCCCTATTTATTTGCACTTAATCATATGAATTACATTCTCATCCATACAATCTCATGTGATTTTTACTATTAGTTGACTGAGACAATACCATCTCGGACCTTTCATGTTCTCACAACAAATATTAACATCTTAATTGGCCAAACCAAGAAGTAAATGAAGTACAAGGTTTAAAATTATCACTACTTATTCCAGCATTAAATATTAATGTTTCATAGAACTTTCATCCGATACTTAATCATTTATCATTTTAAGGAAAAAGATAAATAAAACTACTCAAAATTCATGGAAAACACAATTACACTTAAGTTTGAAAGTAGAAATCATGCAAACAAACAAGAAGTCTAAATTAAAACTAAATGTAGTTACAAAAATAAAAACTTATCTCAAATCCTCTCCACAAAACTCTTGATGTTCTTTTGAATCTCTTCTCTTTCTTTCTCTTACAATACTCTCTACTCACACCCTACAACTCCTCTCTTCTTCTCTCTAAAGATTGATCCTAATTAATCTAAGAGAGAGAGGCGTCGGTGGCTAGGGGGCTGAGAGTTTCTCTAGGGGCACTAGAAAGAGTAGGTTTCCCTTCAATTTAATCCAAGTCTTCTTTTATAATTTTTGAAAAGTTGCCTTGGTGTTTCTTTAAAATGTGTTCACATTCAATGAATCTTCCGAAAGTTGCTTCCTTTCAAATGCTAATTGAATGTATTTTTGTGTCCATTAAACATTTCCCACATTTTCACCAAGAGTTGATTCAAAAAAATCTTCAAAAATTTGTCCAAATTCATTGAATTGCCAAGTAACTACCTCTAGAGCTTAAGCATGAGGTACTTGGCTCTTAGGCACGACCTGCTCGGTTTTACTGAGAGTTTCTCTAGGGGCACTAGAAAGAGTAGGTTTCCCTTCAATTTAATCCAAGTCTTCTTTTATAATTTTTGAAAAGTTGCCTTGGTGTTTCTTTAAAATGTGTTCACATTCAATGAATCTTCCGAAAGTTGCTTCCTTTCAAATGCTAATTGAATGTATTTTTGTGTCCATTAAACATTTCCCACATTTTCACCAAGAGTTGATTCAAAAAAATCTTCAAAAATTTGTCCAAATTCATTGAATTACCAAGTAACTACCTCTAGAGCTTAAGCGTGAGGTACTTGGCTCTTAGGCACGACCTGCTCGGTTTTACTAGCGCTTAGGCACCACAGTTGTTTTGCAC